ATGAGAGTGGAACTGGCAGAGAAGTAGAAAGGAGAACACGTGAGGAGCACTGTGCCTTTCAGAAATTCTTTGCCTTCTCTTGAAGAGGGTTGAATCCAAAGTGTGTCATGCTGCTGCCTCAACATCATTACCATTTTCCTTTGGCCGTGCATGTCCTACTCTGTGTCATTCTTCAGGGTTATCCCTGTCGCAGCCACCTCCTGTTATGGCACTGGCTCTATGGCATCTCAGTCTGTGCTCTTTTGGAAGGGTGGAGGAGGCTTCCCTAGTGTGAGGAATGTCCACGGCTGCAGACGTGGTGCTAACAGCAGAACCGCCTTTCCTGTAGCTTGCACAAGCTGAAGCCATTATGTGACGTGAAGGGGTTCAGTTTCTCAGGAGCTGACTATAGTCATTGTTAGGTAACCAGCTAGACCAAGTTACCAGTGAGGTTTTTTGCTGACATTCTGTGATTTTTTCCTTTGAACTTCATGAGTCATGCTATAATATAAGGTTTAGACACGTTTTCCACTCAATGTAAAGTTTAGACACATTTTCCACACAGCAGGAAAGCCTCCTAGAAAACAATTAGGATGAAAGGCTAAAATGTTTTCCTCAGCTTTCAAGTCTGGCAAATTTCAAATTTTGGTGACTCAACACCACCATTATTTTTTCCTTCACGCATCATTCGAGAAGAAGAGGTTGTTATTTGTTGAGTTACAAGTTTTCTCCACCATTTTAATTTTGTCTCAGTCTGCAGGCAGGAGACTTTTGATGGCCATATATGAAGCTGACCTCTGGCTGGGAAGGGCAACTTGTCAAAATACTACAGGAAACCTGTGTGCTTAGAGGCTTGAAAGAATGGTTGTGTACAGAAGAATTTTGACTTTCAGCGTAGTTCACTCTTATCAGAAAGAGTGAATTATTTTTAAGTCTCGTTCATTAAGATAATACATGGTATGGTGACAAAAGAAAGCTCTTTGTCAGTAACTGGGAATGGTTGTTGAAGACTGTGGTTTCTCTACTCAAACTACTTTATTGAGGATGTTTTTTTTCCTCATGGTAAGTGTGAAACACAGGCAACAGAACCTGTTTCACCAAAGCTGTAAAACCCTACTGATAGCCCTTGTGCATGCTCTTGAGTAATTTGAAATTTAAAGCTGTAGTCCTATTGACCTAGTCCCATGGCAGAGGAGAACTATAAAATGTAAAGGTCTCTTTGGTTCAGTTACATACCTCATGGAAATTTTTTTCCTGAAAGATGAGTGTGGTAATAAAGCTGTGAGCCAGTGGACCTTTTCTGTTATTTCTCTTAATGTATTTGCCACTACAAATAATGTATTTTATAATATGTATAAATAAATATGTTTGTGTATATATTAACTTACGATGCTCATATTTTGAATGACAAGAGTCACACTGAAAGATGTGATAAAGCATGGAATGAGAAGGAGATGGGTATGAAGGCTGGAGTATCATTGGGAGATGAAGTGCCAAAGTCTGAAGTGCCATTGAAGTGTGCCAGTGGAGGAGATTCAAATGAAAGCCAGTGGAGGCAACCTCCTAAATTCTTGCAGCTTGCTGGTGGTCAGCTTTACTGCTAGAAGGTATTGTAGAGCCCTTTGTGCTATATAATGCTCTATACAGTGAGTGGAACTCTGCATTACACCATCTCAGGTTGGCTGTTTACAGATTACTCTTAAACAGTGTCTGAGTTTGCTCATGTGGCTTTATCTTCTCTGTTTCTGATTAAAAGCTTGATTGTATGGACCAAAAGACCACCAGTTTTCCTGGAGTTTGCCAGATTGCTTCAGACACTTTTAGTGTTTTTTTCTTGCGTCTCCATATTTTTAACAGTATCAAATTGCTGGGAGTTGTGTGCTGAGCAAAAGTATTTGAAGTGGCACACTAAAGTCAGAATTTGGTATCTTTTCATTAGCACACTAAAATCACATTTCTCTGGGTGGTAAAAAGAGGCTCATTTTTTTCTTAGGGAGATCATTGCGTCTACCTGTTGGGAATATGGCAGGATTGCAATTTGTGTGAACCCAGGGAAGAGGCTGCCTAGGCTAAGACTGCCTCATGCTACTGTCAGCCTGAAAGGAAGGGAATGGTTGTACAAGAGGCTGGTGAGTGAGCCAGACTATGGGCAGAAAAGCAGAGAAGAAAGCTTAGAACAGACCTGTGCAAATGATGGACTCGAGTCTGAATCTGGGCAGACAAATAATGCCTGCTGCATTCCTGTTCAATGTCTCAGTGTTTCTTACTCTTTCCCTGTCTGTTGGGAACCACCCGAGTTCTTAGCTGTGAGGGCAGCGTGCAGGGCAGAGCCAGAACAAGGACGCTGATTTTTGTTTTGCTAAATGGACTTTGGTAAAAATGAGCCTCATAGTCCTGGCTCAGATGCCAGGATAGGGCAGTTACAGAGCTCAGCAACATTGACTCAATGGATCCAAACAGTGACAATGGTTTTTTCCATCAGGTCATCAGACAACTGCCTCCCAACATAGTTATCCATTGTTAACATATTCTCTGTAGGCATTGCGGCTATGCTATTTATTTTGCAGCCTGGCATAGATGAACAGTTCTCTGGCAACCCTGCTCCAAGGCCTTGAAAGCCTTTATGAAGGGCATCAGTAGTAAAGCCACACTTAGGAAAAGCTGTAGTAACACAAAGCTTTTGCAAAGCTACTGAAAAACTGGGGAGTGTCCCAGACATACTCACAGATACAACCTGTGGGGTAGGGGTGGCCATTTCCTCCTGTGGTTTCTGTTTGAAGATTTCACTAAGTAAGATTGATTGGCTGCCTCATGAGCTGGGAAGTGGATAGCATTACTTTCTACACAGAATGCAGGAAACCATGAACAGGAGCTTACTTAATGGAGTTTTACTTATTCTGTGGATATTCCCAGTAGCTGGGAAGAGGGTTCATCTGCCTTCATGTAATTTAGCAAACTCCTGTGTCATTTGCTGTTTTCTTTAAGCATTCCTACCAATATATCTCTTCCATCAATGCTTCATATTCCTTTTCCCTCGAGAGGCAATCTTCCATATGGAGTATCAGTGTGTAGAAAGGGTTAAAACCCTGAGGCTGTTGAGTCCTTTTTGATTTGACATTGTTGAGTGAGCTGCAGAAACCATACCAGTTCTTGAGTATACTGCAGAGTAACTAGAAACAATGGAGCAAAGAAGAAACTGAAAAATCCAGTCCCAGTTCTGTGATAAGAGCAGAGATATTTGGGAAACTAAAGTGTTCTTTCTGGACTTCAGGTTAGGTAGATCTATATTTGCTATCGTGTTTGAGAACTGTTTGTCTTGTGTTTGTTAACTAGTGAGGTTTCTAAATGTTTGAAAGTGAAAGAAATTATTCTGTGGGTTGTAGACTGAAGAATTTTGTACAGGACCAAGGCAAGACAATGACAAAATTCCTTTTCAGATATACTCTATTCTGAGGATGGTCAGTTTAAGACAGTGTGTTTTTATGGGTGTGTTAAACCTGCACAAGACAAGTATGGTGAGTTTTTCTACATCAGAAGCTTGCTGAGTCTTAGGCAAATTTCATCTGTAATCTTTATTGTGATTTTTGTTAAAAATTTTTGCAGACTGTTCACAAAGGAGAAACCAGAAATGGTATCTACAGTCTGGTAAGTAGGATACTTCATTAGGGTGAGACAGGTACACAAACTGAAAGAAAGGAGTTTTAAATCTTTTTCTCTACTTCAAGCACTTGAACGTACTTAAGTCTTTGTGAAGACAAAAGAATTAAGAGAATTATTTACATACAGATATTGGTCTGTGCCTGCTCAGTTACTGAGGATAGAAATCAGAGCAATTTGTCTGACATCCATTGTCCTCAGCAGTGCAATTGGCAGCTCTCATTTAGACTATCAGGCAGCTGACAAGTTCCTTCTGCTTAGCTCTGTCTGCCTCAGTCATCTGACTGGCCTTGTACAATCAATGCTAGAGTCTGAGAGGGGCTTGGGAATGAAACCAAGAGTATCAGCTTTGGAGTCCAGAAGTACAGCTTGGTGGTGTGAGGAAGCAGTCTGAAATGATACTTCTTTTATTCCCATGGCAGTTTAATTTTTCTTTCAGCTTCTTGCCCAACATACATTTAAGATCCAAAGAAGAACTAATCAACTCCAAAGCACGGTAATGACCAAGACTGCTGTTTTCTGTTCCTCAGTGTGAATAAAATGCCATGAGAATGAGGTATCTTATCTGCATCAATGTTTCTAGCAATCCTGCTAGATAAATATCTAGTAAATATCCATGTCTTTAATAACAGAAAAATCTGTCTTCCTGGTTTTACATTGATTTTTAATTGACCTTTATTAATCAGGATTGAAAGTGGCATGTTTGCAGGAAAAGTTAGGACACTTTTTTGGAAAACATGTAGGGTATGTGACTTCAGGAGTCTGTTGTGCATAATACAGCATTGCTACCTTAAAGTATTTATTTTGAGTTGCTTAGAGAAAACCAAAACAGCAAGAACTAGAGATGGATCAATTAAAGGGTACATTTTCAAAATTTGTCACAATGTGGATTATGTTCTCAAAATGTTTTTTTCCTGAGACTACTTTTTCTTTCATAATGTCCTGGGATAACTTTGTAAGGATTCCTCGAAGAACCAATATCAGGGCAATATTGATAATGCATTTTGTCTGTCTTATAGTGGGAAATCTACCAAAGACTACGTTCTTTTGAGGTGCTAGGTAGAACATAGATTTGCAACCATTTATAATCTGACCTGATAATACTAAATTCAATACAGAAGACTAACAAAGGGTGGTGGGCTGTGGGGTTTTTTGGTGGAGCAGAGGGTTTGTGCTTGTTTTAAGTGCATTTATATGTTTTCTAGCAGATTATGGAAAAGATTGTCCAAGACAATATGATGCTGGTTAGAAATCCAGGAATGACTTCATAGACTCCAAATTACTGGGGGAACCAGCAAAACCTGTTGCTACTAATTAACTAGCATGGTTTTATATATAGGCAGGTATCATGATTCCAATCAGACATGTTAGAAAAGGATGTGCCACACCTCTCTGTGGTAAGCCCATTATAAAGTTATTATGGGTCCCTAATAAACAATTTTCCAATGCAGCACTGGGAAGAGTTGAAGTTGTCTTGAGAAACAGTGTTGTTATTTCTAGGAAATTGAGCTGTAGTTGTCATTGGTAGTGAAAATCAGGATCAATACAAGAATTTTGAACAAAGAAACCTTACTTTTGTAGTAGGGATGTATCACGGAAAGAAACTATTTGCCTCAGCTTTTGTGAATCTGTGTTGTGTGGTTATGTCCCACCACACAGTGGCTCAGAGCCTGCTTTGCACTCAACCACACCACTGCATTCTCATGCCAGGAAACCCTTCTCTCTTCCTTTGCGATCACCATGTAATTCTCACATATGCTTTGAATTTACCCTTGCATTCCCTTCTCATGTAATCTCATTTAGTTAATCTCATGTAGCAGCGTCTGACCTACCTTATTGTATTAGACCAGCAGGTTGAGTTGAAAAACTTTGTAACTCTCAAACCAGTGTATCCTAGGAAGGCTCTGTAAAAAGAAGGTGGTGTTACATAGGAAGACAGACCTGCTCCTGTTTGACTGGGATTGCTTTGTCATGCTCACTCTGCAGGTAGTAGGACAGATGGTAAAATACAATAGCCAAGACATGGGTGTGGGGAAAGGGTAGGGTAGTGGAGCAGAACCATTCAGTCTCACCAACAGCCTGCCAAAGTGATATCCAAGGAATCAGAAATCTGTGCCGGCTCCCACAATGATGACTTTGTGCAATAAAATCATTAACTAAAGTCCTCTTGCCTATCCATCCTTGTCCAAATTTCATTAAGGGAAGTAATGGATACCGATTTTTTGCAACTCATGGTATGCATAAGTTATTAAAGCATCTGTATCAAACATGTTGTTAACAGAGCTGTGACAAAGGTGAGAAGATGCTAAAGACATGGTATTTTTTCCTGCAGTGTTATATGTCCTTGAAGCTTGAGGCTAATCCTGGCCTTAAAGTGAGGATTACTCAGAAGAGGCTGGACTATGTTATGTCTAACATTGCCAGAAGTTAATTTATCATAAATACTCTATGTACAGAATATTGTTTCTTAATAGAGGTGCAATGAAGGAACAAGCTTCTTAAATACTGAAAGAGAATATCTTCCTTTTGTCACCTTACACCAGGAACACACTTTGACTATTCCTTTATTTATTTCCTTTCTTTAGTGTACATCCCAGTGTGAATTTTTCCTTTATTGATGACTGCATTCTCCTACAGTCCAGTAGTTTCTACTACATTCTTCATACCTATATACTTTCTTAGAACCAAGATTAGATCGTCATACAATTTCTCTTTTTTTAAATTGTCAGAAACCTGACTTACAGTGCAATATTTAGCTGAAGATAATCAGACAAAATTGGGAAAAAAGCTTGCCATTTTGGAACTGCACACCTTGACTCTCACTCCTGCATTTGGCATGTGACAGCACCTGCATGTGTTATTCTTAAAAAAAAAAAAAAAAAAAAAAGTAGTGATTGCCATAATTCTGCCCCTTAACAGAAAATTTCCACAGAATGTTTTCCATACTCTTTCTATTCATGCTGGCTTTCACCATCTCTTACCTAAGGCTTACTCCGTGGGTGTGAAGGACATGTAATAGAATTTCAGTTGTTTACAGAATTAATATTAGTAATAAAGGTTGACAAGGCACACTTTAACAGACTGGGTCATGCTAGGATTAATTGTCATTTATGTACTGAACATGCTGGCAATGGACTTATAAGGTGAACAATGGACTTGTGAGGTGAAAACTAAAAGGATTTATGCCACTGAAATGAAAACAAGGATCAGGTCCACTTATTTGGCTGTATGAGCATTGTTTTAAAGGCTTCTGAGGAGTTGAAAAGTGCAGGGCAAACATCAATCACCCGATGTAGTATTGATCTCCCTTGCTTTCTAGGGGTCTCTGATGCCTTTAGGTTCTTAGTGTGAGCACAGGAGTTCTTGTGGCAGTCAGCATGGCCTTCCAAGTGCTGAATAAACAGACCAAGTTGGCACACCCCTGCATTAGTAGTAAAAGCAGATTAACAGCGCCCCTCCCAAAGGTATTTCTCATATTTGAAGAGCTTGGTGCCTGACATTCTTTCCCTTAATGTAATTGAAGGCTTAGGCAACAGATCCTGCCTTCGTGCTTCTTGCCTGCTACAAGAACCTTGAGAGAAATTCCACCTGAGATCACTGGCTGTCTTCGCTGACAGTCATAAGAGAGCTTTAAGTTATTTCAGTGAGAGCCCATATTTTGCTTTGGAGACAGGAATTTCCAGAGAATCATAATTTACTTCTCCCTCATAAAACATGCATTTTATAAAAAGATATTCCAGTGTTATGTTATCACAAATTTCAGTTCTTTGCTTTTCTAATACTATGGAGCCCGGCGATAAAAAAACCCAGGTGTTTTGTATTCAGCAATTGTGAGGTCAGAAGCTAAAGACACTTGTGTAACAAACATTGGAAAGCAGGACATCATTCAGTATTAAAGTTTTAGTTATGTCTTAATCAAAGGTGAGCAAAAAGAAGGAAGGTTCGAGGAATTTGGAATTAAAAGATGCTCTGTTTGTTGACAATGGGGTCTGTGTATATTATCAATGCACAAATAGCATTGAAACGTTTGAGAAAATAGAGATTCCTTAAAGCAGGAAAGAACGTAAGGAAATAAGTCAGATATCTGAAGCAGGCTGTAAAGGTTAAGGTGCAGTGGCAAAACATATGTACTGTGAAAGAAACAGCAAGAAATAATTTTAGAGGATTGTCTTTAAAACTCAAACAATTCCCTGTACGCAAGCAACAATTCAGACAGTTCTGCATTTGACATACCAGCACTTCAGATGCATATGTCACTTTTTCTCTAAGTAACCACTACACAGAGAAGTTGCTTTACTACTTCATAACTTGCTTTTTCATCCAACAGATGTGAGGCAATCTGAGGTAAAGCTGATGATCAAGTGTTTCCCAAGGTCACCCACATTGTGAATGAAGGGAGTATCAGAGTTTCAGAAACCTGACATGAGCTCTAGAATATGAAATACAACTCAGGGACAAAATAATCCTAAACAGATTATCTTGATCTTAGATTAAATGGCTTATATGTGAGCCTAAGAGAAGTTATAGATGGGCATATTTGTAGTTGGTAAGGATCATAGAATCAGAGTGTTGCAAGAGCTATGTTAAAAATTCAGATTAAATTATTCAGCAGTGTATCTGGGCCTTCGGGTGCCTGAATCTAATCTGCAAGGCACATGCTTTCCTATGTCCTCTTGTAGGCAGGAGAATTGGGATGGAGCTCCTGAAGCAAGCAGTATTGAAAGAGACTTTCCCAAGCTGGACTGGGCAGGAGAGTTTCTCAGTTGTTAAGATCAACTATGTCATTTCAAGATAAGTAAACGAAATAATTGTCAAAGTTTTATGATGAAACAGCTTTGTATTGCCACGTTGCAATAATTACACAGTCACTGTTTTTTTCAGTGTAAACATTTAGTGGTTCATCTAACTGCTTCTGATTGGTTTTAAAAGTACTTGTTCTGCTACACTCAGAGATGGACTATGAAGCTTCTGAAGGAGCACCTTGGCTGGTTTTTCTCAGCTGGTTTGTATCAGAGTTTGAGGCAAGACAGGTGTAAGCATGGCTATGATACAGCAGGGGAAATGGGTGCAGAAGAGGGCAGAACTGGTGTTATTAACAATCTGCTACTATGAAGGACCTGTAGCAGTGAAAATAATCTGTTTGTGTTTGATGAAAAAAAAAGCCAAAAAAGGGAGAAGATGAAAATGTGTGCAGGGGATGATGTATCTTGGCTGATGTGGCAGGAAGATGCTTTTTACAGAATATTTTTTAATTAATTTACATCATAAATTACCATTTTAACTGGATAGGGCTCAGCAAGTGTTTACTGAAGAGGAAAATCTTTGTACCAGGAATGGCCAGTAGAAAAATGGTCTTATAGAGTTTCCTACAAGTTCTCCAAATACGGAGACTAATATAGAAGCAGGTCTTTGTACAGCCTTCAATCCCACCTTCCAATGGGCTATAAACAAAAAACCAAGAGAATATGGAGCCAGACTCTTCCAAAGGTACACACTGAAACACTGATGAGCAAAAGGCATAAGTGACATTAAGAAAAGTACTGCAATTAGGAAAATATTGTAGGGAGCACCAGAACAAGGGCTGAAAGTGTTGGGGAGTCTGCATTCTTGGATGAGTTCAATACTCAGGTGGGCAGTCTCTGAGTTGTTTCATCTTTGAGTAGGAGGTTGAACCAGAAAAATCTCCTTAAGTCCTATTTCAATCTAAATTATTGCATGATTTTCAAAACCCCAATTCATTCCCCCAACCATAGTTCTTGAAATTGGCAATCTTCCCGGTATATAATCTGATTTTAGCTCAGAGCAAACAAGATACCTAAAGGTATCAGGCATGCCTGAGATGTTATTGGAAAGTTATGGTCATTTTAACAGAAAGTAGCTGGTGCCTTCTGCCCCAGGGAAAGCAGATTAAAGGCAATTGTTTCAGAGATCTCTGCCAGATAGCAGGGAACAATGAGGAATGTATACTGCATGATAAGATGACATGTGATATCTTTACATTGTTCAGCGCAGTTCAACACACCCATTTGCAAGACAATATCCTTGAATTTCAGAAATATTTGTTTTGGCAGAGAAATATTCAAGTAGGATTTAATTTAGAAAAATTGATCTTCTCCAGAGCCCTTTGCTTAGGCAAGGAAGCAGAATGGGAAAACAAAAACTTTGGTTGTCTTCAGCAAATGCTAGCATTTGGACAACCTGGATTTATTTATAAATGTAGCATCTGAGATTAAACATGGATTTATTAGTTGCCTGGCAAGAAGATTTCTCTTTAAAAAGTTCATTCTTCTTCCAGGGAAAAGTTTTTGTTACAAAAAAAAAAAAGTCACAAACCCTCCCCAATACACACACACACAAAAAAAAAATCATCAAAACAAAACAAACAAACAAAAAACCCCCACAAAAACAAAACAAAACAAACAAAAAAACCAACAAAAAACACCCTACCCTGGCCAAATACCAAGGATTCTTTTTCCAAGGATGCTATGAGGTGTAATGGTACAAGTGTCTTTCTTTCCTAAAATGTACATGGGTCAGCATGGGTCAGTAATTTCTAAGAAATGCTTTTACTGAAGCATAGAATTTGCCTTTTATAGCAGAAGGGTTTTCAGTGATCAGAGGTCCTTCTTAGTCTTTTGACATGCAGTCTAATAATGCCCCTTTCTGTATTCTGTAGGCTCAGAATTAATCCTGTAGATTTCCCAGAAATTTCTGCTTCCTTCATTCCTGGCATTTATCTGTCAGTGGCACAGGCTTCTGCTACAATCAGTGCAGACTGGAGAATACACACATGGCTGTAATGGCTGTAAGTTTTGTGCAGAATGGAGAATACACACAAAATGTAAGTTTTGTACAGAATGCAGGTAGGAGAGCTCTGGGAGAAGGATTGCAAATGAAATTAAGAAATATACTGGGAAATTATTTTTCAGGTCAGATATACTTTATCATTAAACTACATTCCAATAATCTATTTGAATAAGCTTCTTAAGAAGGAAACATCCCCTGACAACTAATGTTGTTTTACGGGTTTTTTATAATTATTTTACCCCAGAGGTCTCTTTGGGATGTATCAGTTCAGACATTTGTTAGCATGCTCAGTTTGTCCAGGCATTGCATAAATATTCAGCACCATAGAGTTTACACTTGTTACTTTCTTTGTATACTATAGCTGGAAGGTGACTCTACAGCTAATTAGCTCTGTGCAGGTACAGTGTATGTTGCCTTCCAAAGAGCTCCTCCTAAAGGGCACTGTCACAATGCCAAACATTCAGAACTTCAGAAACTCCAGAATGTGGGTTGCTATGGAAAACTGACTTAGCTTCATAAGCCTGTGCAGTGCAAGATTGTCTGTAATGACATGATTAGACACTGGTTTTTCCACTTATATCAGCATTTTGCAATACAATTTTAATACAGTGGTATTAAATAATATAGCTTTTCTTGGGAGTGGGGAGGGCTAAAACTTCTGGGATATCAGAAAACTTTGCAAGGTGCTAATCTCTACAATTTGGGTTAATGGAGCAGCTAGTAACAGTAGGCATTGCTCTATTGTGAGCCAAATAGCACAGCAAGATGAATCAACAGGCTGCAGAATTTTACAGCACAGCACGTCCTGATTCCAAAGGAGCATGGAGATGCAGTTCTGCATTCTGTCTCAGTGAGGCTGGTGGCTGGGAACTGCTGTCACTGTGCCCCCAGCCTCTGTTTTTTCTTCTGTTGCATCACTGTTGTGAAAAAAAATATATGTATGAGCTGAAAAGGGGAGGTTTAAAATGGTAATAGTAATAGGAGGGACTTTGTGACTGACAATCCTAGACACTGGTTTGATCAGGGGCAGTCTAGGGTAAAAAATAATTTTTTAGGATTACAGCTTCTTTTTCCAGGAATTTTGCTTTGCCTAAAAAAAAAAAAAAAAAAAAAAAAAAAAGAAAAGAGGAAAGTGGAGAGACTCATGATTTGAACTTTCTCTTGGATGGGCTTCTTTCTTTATAGTATGGTGCCACCACTGTAGTAATGCCTGAGAAAAGAAAACCCAAGTAATCAAGATGAAAGGGTGAAAAGTGATGCTTTCACTGTCAGTTCTATTATGGTAAATGAGGCTTTTTAAGGCTATTCTAACAACCATTCAACTCTCTATCCTACTTGGTTGGTCTACAGCTTTTGCAACTCCTAACCATAGTCCTAATACCTAAATTTGCTGGAATTCAGGTTTAAAGAGATTTCTGTTGGATCTTAGTAGGGATTTAAAAAAAAAAAAAAAAAAAAGGAGTAATGTAAAGATCTAAAGGAGTTATTGAAAATTTTCTTACAGGAAAGAGCAAAGTGGAACAATTAGAATGTTGATAAAACTTGAGTTATATATTTATGAGCTATCTGGCTTCTGCTGTTGCAGTCCCAGAAGCTTTCAGGTTGATCTGTCATGAAAAACTGGAATGTCCTGTATTTCTGTGAAATTGTGACATTTTTGTAAACTTGTCAAATCCTGCAGCACACTGAAAATTCATGTCCTGGAAACGTTTGCGTATAATCTGTTTTTGATTACCAGGCATGTCCCTAAAATACTTTAATCCCTTGGAAACCCATTCTTCATTCTAGATAATAGAAGCAAGAAGCCCTTTCAAATTTGATTTACAGACTGTTTCTTAAATTGTTCCCTTACAACAGATGTTTTCTTGGCTGAGTTTGGCTTTTTTTTCCCCAAGCAGCCAAGACCAAGGAGAAATTGCTGTGTCCATCTCAGGACTGTTTATTGCAGTTATCTCCGGGGACAGCACACGCCACTTGTCCACATTGCTACACAGTTGCCAGCCGAGCACTGATAGAGTTAAAATCAAGTTAAGTGGAGGATCTAGGTATGTACAGCAAACTTTCTAATTGTTCTGTGGGAAGTAGCACCGTTTGTACCAAAAAGGGACACTTTTCAAATTTTGATTTCTAAGGATCCAGCTACAGGATGTAATTAACTACTGAAGGCTCTGAAAAGAGATTTTTAATGATCTGTTTTCAAAACCAGACTCCTTTGCTGAGTGTGTGAAGTGCAGTTAATTTACATTTCTTCCTGCATGTGCCAGCAAATGAGCTGACTAGTCCTACTGCACATGAAAGCATTGACATCTGACCATATTAGAGAGTACAAGGTTGCAAGTGGAAGGTTGCAGGTGTAAAAGAGATCTAGATTGATTAACTTTTTGACAAGCTGACCTACAATTTATAAATAAAGCTTTCAAAAGAGAATAGGCAAGTGGAAGGTTGCAGGTGTAACAGAGATCTAGACTGATTAAGCTTTTTGACAAGCTGACCTACAATTTATAAATAAAGCTTTCAAAAGAGAATATGAGACAATGCTTGCAGTTCTTACTATGATTTTCTAGAAATTTATTTCTTACTCTTAGACAAAATGTGGGTAATTGAGTATCATTCAATTACAAACTAACATTCACAACTTTGCAGATTGCCTACTATATAGCTCTTCTGAGGCTCAGACCCCCAAGATTTGTCTGAGACTCTCAAATTAATAAAAACAGTCAAGTGTTCAGTGTACCATAATGCTACAATTGCTGCTTGTCAATGTAAATGACAGTCATGTCCCAGTCTGACAGATTTTATATTTCAAAAATTTCAATCCATTGTAAGAAAACCACTGTGTCCATTTCCTTTCCTCCAGCTGGATCTACAGCTTTCTATCTGGTTATGTTGATAAGCCCATTCATACCAAACTGGATAAAAATGTAAGTTTACAACGATGGTTTCAGTTAGCAAAGGGAGGAATTAAAACACAGGCCCTACATTTCTGACTTGTCTCTCTTTTCATATAGCTATGCCTAAATATCAAATACAAAATCCAATTGATGGATGCACTGCTTAGAAAGCATTGGGGTGAGTCGGTGATAGCAGTTTTTTATTAAATAATTTTCATAGTGCTCAAAGTTTAGCCATTTTTATTAGATGCCAAACTATTCCCGTGTTCATGGTACAAAAAAAAAAGGGAAGGAAGAAAAATACAGCCGTTGTTCTGTATCTTAACATACTCCATACTGCACCCTAGAAATCTTTTGCATGCATCTTATATACAATGTTCAGATCTCTTCTGTGCCCATAGGAAGTCACATGAAATCTTTCAGTCTGTTGTAATTGACCTGTGTTATTTCTTTAGATTTTGGAGATGAGCATTTTCCTGCTGATCCTTTATGCTTTTGGTGTGTGCACATAAGACTGGTGTTCAGTGAGGTAACAAGATGCTGCAGGCAGACCATCACACAGAGCTTGTTTCTTTTCCATCAGTAATAATTCCTGTGTCATTCTTGCAGAGACATGAATACAATAGTTATCTATGTTCAAAAATGATATAAATATAAGATTTTCACTACTTTAATCAACGCCACAGCTTTTTATTATTGTTCTTTTAAGGTTTTTCCCACAAAGATTGAGAAAATTTGGTTTTTTTCTCAATTCAATTCCTGTGAGTAATATAATTCAAGTAATAGAGTTTGTTCCCATTCTTCACTTTTCATTGTGGATATTTCTATTACCTGCTCTGTTATTCATAAGCAGAGTAAGTAGACATTTATTTTTTCTAAAATGACCTATACCTTCCATGTGCCAAGCAGTGGCAAATATCACTGAAAATCATGGTCATCGAGATAATTTTCTTACATAGCACATAATTAAACACTTCAGGTTCAAGAGCACTCCAAGCTGTGCTGTCACATTCATATTCATACTGAGAAGTTCATAATCTCTGTGTGAATTCAGCATTTCTCTTTGAACCCATCTGATTTCTATACAGTATAAACAGACCGCACACTCCAGTCAAAAGTAACCATCAGACTGAGGCTGCATCCAGCGCCTTTCAGAAAATGTCTTCGATCATATTGATAATTAAGCCTGTGAAAAAGTTCCTTTTCTTCAACACTGATAGGCAGAAAAATGTGCTAACATCATCTTCCAAAGGATTTAGTCCTATTTAGCAGTATTTCACTAATCATGTAGGAGAATTTAGATCTCTTGTGCAAACACGTAGCAAAAATGGCGACTCTGCCCTAGATTTTTCACTGCATGGCAGAGACTTCTGCAAAGTGTATTCAGTTGTGAACAGCAGGAGAACAAGGCCTAAACCAGGAGGAATCAGTGGCTTTTCCAAAGGCAATACTCTTACTCTTTCCTTTATAATAATTTCTGTCTTTTTCTTCTTCTATCTCTCAGCATTCTTTTTCAGATTCATCATTTCTAAAATGCCTTTACTTTAACTAAGCAATAACTGTTTGTGATGTGGTTTTGTAATTAACATCTCTTTTGATTTTGTCTATCATTCTTCTCATTTTAAGCCAGATTGACACCTTTGCACAAGTAGACTATTTCCTAGTTAGTTCTCCAACAGTCTTCAAATCACACATTAACTTGGATTTGAAGATAATTTGTCTTTAATATCAGTGTTCTTTCTAAGACTTTTCTGCTATTTTTGAATTGATGAATTTTCTTTCACTACAGTCCTACTCAGCCTCTCCAATATTTACTTGCAAAAGTAATAAGACATTCTGGGAAATTTGGTCAATAGTTATTTTAGAAACCAGCATTTGTTAATTAACTAAAGCTATTACTTATAATTAAATTAATTCAGAGTTGAAAGCCTTCAGAGGTGCTTAAAGGTGTTCTTGAGATACACAGCTCTTGTACTGCTGCTTGGTCTTCACCTGTTAGCAGTGATACATAATCTGTGATGGTTCCCAATATGATTGCAGTCCAAAGCTCTTTGTTTTGAGATGATTCAGCATCTTGTATAAGTACAGGTCACACCCAAAAAGAAGGCTCCTCTCAGACAGTCCTTGAGGAGCACATAACAGTTCTTATCTACTTTTTACCTTTGTTGCAGGAGTGATCTCAGCAACACCCAGTTTTTTCCATCAGTTTCAACAGTCCTTGTAATTCAGAGCATCCCCATGGCTCTCAGAACAGACTTCAGTTAAGATGAAAATCAGCCAGAGCTGATTTTGTTCAAGCAACTCTTACCACACACAAAAAACTTTGCAAGCAGGATATACACAGCTTTAAAGAACTAAGCAATTACTTATCAGCTACTGTCACTATATTGAATTCATAGGCTAAGCGTTAATACATGGACATCCCAGTGGGACACAGGATGACTTTTCTAAGTCAGTCAAGGAAGTTATTCAGTGCTCATTGGAACAGGCTGGTTCTTGATAGCTATAAGTTGTCTTCTTCCAACTTCCAGCTTTTTTTTTAGGGTTTTATACCTTTCCATGCCAGTGTTTTTCCTACTGAATCTTCCAGCTACTAACACTCACAGTGTCAGTAACTACACTATCTACTGTCTGTATTACTCTTCTTTAATGGCATGGCCTCATACCCTCTCACATTTTAATAGTTATTTTCTTAGCATACCTGAACCAAGGTCCCCTACCTGTGCAGCACCCAAAAAAAGTCTGGGAGAATTGGCAGCTGGACCAGGACTAAGTGTTAGGTGATACAAAAGGCTCTTTTGTGTTCCTGTCCTAAGCAACTTGCAGTGCTTTTCAGGAGTGCCTGAAGATTTTCCTGAAATGTCACCCTCAGCATTAAATTTTAAAAGGTGTCTTTGCTACAAGAGAAATAAAACTGTGGTCCAGAGAATTATTTTTTGTGTGTGTCTTGTACCTGCTGTTCAGAATACTCACTAGAATGCTCAAATTAAAACTCTGAAAGCACGGCACCCAGATTTTCTTTGATTCCTGCATTTTTTTTAAAAGAGCCATAATTTGCTGACTTTTAGGGCATAATACAAACTTATTTGCTTAGGTCAAGGTTTCTTTCATGTCAAACTTTTCTTCAGACTAGGAAAAATCTTTCTGTTCAACCCCTGCTAATGCATTCTAACAGATAAAAATGTTTCAACTAGAAATATTTGATAATGACTTTTTGCAGGGCATAGTCTATCCAGTAGTAAATCACACAGACCCTCCCTTTGTGCCAGTTCCATTTGCTCTCCCAAACCAGGATGATTCCATTATATATCTGGGAGTCTCCAATTATTTTTTTAAGTCTGCTTCACTGGCTCACTACAGAGCAGGGGCCTTTAACATCACTATCTCCAAAGAGGTGAGTATGATTTGTTTGTAATAGAATTACAAATATTGGCAAGATGGATAATCAGCAAAGACTAACACCTTATGTTTGCCGTTTCACATAGATTTGGGTCATACTTATACCACTTGTAAGAGAGATTCATGACATTCAGTTTGTCATAATTCAAAGTAGTCAAAGTCCCTCCCAGACTTCAGTCTGAACTTCTTGGCAGCTCTAGGCAAAGAATGACAGAATGAACATCACAAACTTGGTATGCCAGGAGTGGCAAAAGGAATCTAAAAAAGCTCTTCTCAGCATGGATTCCACATAGAAAAGGGCAAGACAAGAAAAAGTTTACTAAAGCCCCAGTCTGCTGCACAGTGGCCCATGATAAATGTATTGGCTGTGCTGAGAAACTAGAATAAATCCTCAGACTTAAGAGAGCAGCAGAAAGAAGCAAGCAGAAGGTACAAGCAATTAAGCTTTCCTCTGTGGTTGAAGAACACACAGGACTTCTCAGAAATGACAGTTTCCAAAATGGCATTTGTAGTCAGGGTTTCCAATAAGTTTTGCTAACTGTAGCTATGCTAAGAGGGTCTTTATAAAAACTGGTGACACAAATGGCACTAGTAAATGTCATCACAGTGGTTAGCAGCAAAAAGGCAAATGGGATTTTTGAGTCCTTGCCTCTGACATACTCAGTGTACTTCATCTGAGAGAGTCTCAGAGGCAGAAGTAATGTCTTTTCTTTCAAAGAATAATGCTTGTTTACTGGTATATGCTCCTGAATCAAATCCATGAGAAATCTGTCTTCTGTCCCAAAGAGCACTGTGGGTTCCTTAGAAATCATTCTGGGGCAAGAAAATGCTAAATCAAAACATGGATTATCTAAAACTAAAATAAATTGGATGTATTGGGGTTTTTTTTCCCCCAAGGAAAACCTAATTTTCAAGCTGATAAAATTACCTAATTTATTTTGTTTATACCTTGATAGTACTTTTAATCTAAACACTTCCCTACTCAGACATTTTATTTCTGAGGTGAGTACTTTATTTGTACAGATATTTTAAGAAAAAGCAGTATCTAATGTTTTCTATGGATATTATCTGTGTGTTAGCTCATTTGCAAAAGCTGGGAGGAGACAAGAAAACTGGTCTATTTTTAGTGCAAAATTCAAACTTACATGTCTACCTTATGATAACTCTTCCTAACTATATCATACTGCACATACTGACTGTAATCATTCTCTACTCCTCTGAGGGCTAGATTTGCTCTCAGTCTTTGAAACAGTTAAAAAGAATAAGTGGTCCATCTGTCAGATCAGTCTCCTTTCATTCCTCTTCAAGGTAATGGTATCTCTGCTATTGGTAGCCTGACTTCTCTTTGCAAAGATTCCTGATTTCTGACTCCTAAAGATTATATACAATGGGAAATAATAGTCATGAATCTATAAATGTGATGCAAGAAATTAAGATACTATGAAATGCTTTAAAAATATGGCAATATTTACTATAAGATTATGAAATTCAGAATCTACATCGCAAACTGAAGCTTTGTCCTCTAGGAGTTTCCCAAGCTTTTCAAAAGTTTGGCTTTTTTGAGAGGCTGTCAACTTTTCCAATTTCTTCATGTTGTTAAGGTGATTAATTTTTTGTTTTTACTGGAACCACTAATTTCCTTCACTTATTTAACATACTAATCTCTTTCTCTTAAAGTATGTTTTTCAGGAATAGCCCCTAAATTGTTTCTCTATATATGTTCAGTATCAGTGAGTTTAAAACTTCATCATTTGCTTTATCATCTCTGAGACTCAGAGTGTATGCAATGCTAATTTTATCACTTCAGTTGGTGTCATGAAAATGAAGCTTTTTTCATATTGATTCATTACAAGAGGATTGGTGAATAGCACCTGATTATGATGCAGCTGTAGGAACTGTATCTTGAGAAAAGCTTAAGTCTGCCCTCAGCGGTGTTTTCCTCTTTGAACCTGCACAGATTGCTTGCAGTTACACAGCAGTGGGCCCAGTGCTGCTGAGGCTGATGGCTGTATACCTCCTGCATTCAGTTTAAATGCAGGCACATGTGTCCTACAGATCACTGGCTGTGTAGAAGTGTTTGCTGTTCTGCCAAATTCAACCACCCAGTACATCTTTGCAGGGAATCTAGTAAGTAAAAGGAGCTAGAAGATAACATTCATAACATTCAGTGCTGGGGCTGAACAAATCACACACTAATCTTCCTGGTCCTTTGAAAATCTTAGAGATTAGCATAAAATAGCATATACTGCTCTGCCACAAATATGCACACTGTTTTGTTGCATTTCACAGAAAGGAAACACATGCCACACATTGTAGAAGTTAGTAGGTTTAATAGGCAGGTGCAGAGAGCCCTTTTCTCCATGTGGGAGGTTGAGTAACTATTCAAGAATAAATTGTAATATATAAAAATGTTACTGTCTGATGGCCAGTGTTCCTAACCTCTGTGTTATGAAATAGTTCAGTGTGTCCCCAGACATCTTTTCATTAGATTGCAAGTGAACCAATTATGTCAGCCATGCAAGGACTTAAATGATCCTAATGATAAAGAAGCAATCAGGGCAGTGTTATCGCTCTGTTCACTCAATCCCAGTTGCTGGCAGAAAGCGGCAAATTCACTAAGGATTTCACAATCTATATGTATTGACCATAAAAAAAGTTTAGACAATGTGTTTCCAATCACTAAAGCAATGCATTTGTGCCTGTATCTAAGACAGTATCTATCTGTGCGTACAGTCACGGAAGAATGCTTTGTTTTTTTCCCTGCAGACAGGCAGTACCAGAGCCAAATTGACTATAAGCAAACAGAAGTTGATTATCTCATTACTTCTGAAGAGGTAACCAAGAAAAATTCAGAAAGAAGCATTAATTATCCCTACATTAGGATACAATAGAACTTGTGTCAGCCTGATAGTGCTTGTTTCACCATGGGGAAAAGAATATTAGTTACCTTCTTTCTCATAGGAGCTCCAAGATACTTTCAACTGGTTAGTCTAAATCTTCAAGATGAAATATAATAATACTGTGGAAAAGCCATGTCTCTTGTACCCCATGATGCCCCCCTTTTCTGAAGCTTAAATACCTTTCCAGATGACAACATTCAATTTATTGGTTATCTTGAAGGCATCTGTTTCAGTCTGTGTTGGTGTCTTGGTTTGGTGTTGGAGAATCAAGTTCAGTAGTTTACTCAAAACCCTCTGAATGTTGCTGCAAAGTCTGAGCATCATAAACAGAAGTGCTGGAGTGCAAACTCCACACAAGACCACTGTCCCTATAGTTCTCCATATGCCTTCATGAGAGGGGCAGGGAAAAGTGAAACTACATAGCACACACTGCAGCAGCATGTCATTAAACAAATGAGACTAGGAGGGTGTCTGTAGTTTGAATCAAAGCTCACAGTGGTTTAGATTTCACTTAAGTCTTGCTGGGTTTGTGGTTACCTGCAGTTGTGCTTGTTCTCAGCTGTCTTACAACAAATTTTATTCACACTTCAAGTAGGGCTGGGTTTACAGCCCCTTTCTCCATAAATGCACCTGATGGGTAGAAGCAGGCTTTCAGACAAGTAGCCCACATCAGTGTTTCTTCATGTTAGCTCTCTGAATCAAGCTGGTTTAGAATTCCAGAATTTATGATCATTTTTAATCTATTACAATTTCATTAAAGAAAAATGTGAGCAGTCTTTTCTTAGTTTTGGTCACTGGACCTTTTAACAGGAAAAGAGGACTAAATGATCAGAGCCTGTCAGTATAAGTTTAGGAAGTAATGGTGCTGCTCACTTAGAGCTTTTGACACAAAAATGTGTTCTCTTGTTCTTCAAAACTTTGTTTTTCCCCAGGAATATATGTATAGTGAACCAAGGATTCATTACAGGCATCATTGGGAAAAGTTAGCAAATCATAATAGTTAGAAATGGGTATGAGTTTTTTCAAATCATAATGAATATTTGACAAGGGTGTAGTTCAGTCATTCCAGGAAATTACTATTCCAGAAAAATTTGATTTCCCAATTCTTATAGTCTCAGCACTGGACTACACATGACCATAGGAGAAGATTAGTATCAGAAAGAGCCTGGTGATTCTAGAACTCATTTGTAGTTGTGCCAGTTTTAATTAAAAGTTGTTGGGAATTGAAGAGCCTTTGTCAAAGTTAAATATGTGAATCAGCATGAAATAAGTATGAATTTCCACAAATGAATCTTCAAGCAGTGTGCATAACTTGTGCCTCTAGTGAATCCTCTTCTTTTACTTTTTTTTACTTCAGGTTCCAGTTCTCCCTGCTGCGCTCCAGTCTTGACTTCCCTGACGTAAGTTGATGGTTTCAGTGCCTAGGAAAGGTAGCTGAGCCCTTCAGAGACAAAAGAAATTCTTCTGAACTTATTGTGAACAATTATTTGGCAGTCTTGGGGATATCGTCTGCCACCGCTCTTTGTGTTTTGAAACTCTATATTCTCTGCTTTTCTTTTTCTTTTCAGTAAGAGGAGATATCTCTAAGAGTGTTTGGGTTTTTTCCTCATCAGAGGCTCAAAATGTTATATAGTCTGCCTAGGTTCAGACAGGATTCACAGCTGAATGGAGTATGTGTAGTAGTTGGAGTGAATACAAAATCAGGCTTAAGCTCCATTTCAGGAATTATCTTAAAACACTTCAACTAAATACAACAAAAACAGGAGTTTTAAAGGGGAATAAAAAAACCACAATGCCACTATTTTGATCAGTTACTGTAAACTTGGAAATGCTCAGTGAGACTCTGCAGCAACTCAGTCCAACCCACATCTTTAAGTAAAGGGAGAAAGACACTAATCAAAGTGGCATTAAGACAGAGCATAAGCACAGGACAGTTCTTCCATCCAGAGATCAGTTCACTCCTGAGAACTGAGTCCTGCCAGCTGAAATGAGGTTTAGCATATTTCATTCCTAAAGCTAAGGTTCATCCCAGGTACTTAAAAAAAAAAACAAAACCTTCAATTTAATTCATGACATGCAAGAAACATGGACACCTCTTTGCCATGTATATTTTGCATTGTTCAGCTGCAACTTAAACCAAAATAATTTTTTTTTTCCTGAGATTTCTCTGTCAAGCTCTGCTCTGATCGTTTTGCTTGTCACTTTGGTCCTAGCCCTCCATTTTCATCATCAAGCTACAACCTCACAGACATCAGGCACTAATCAGCAAATGTGCTTTTTCCCTCACAGCAGAAGTCACTGGTGGAGAATTTTCTGTCTTATGCTTTACAGAGAATCGTGATTCCAGTAATCAATGATAAGGACTATAGCCAGTTCCTAAGCACAGCTGGTGGGAAGGCAAGACTGATCCATAAAAGGGAGTGTCCAGCTTTAAAGGCTCTGTTAAGGAAGTTTTCTTTCCATTTGGTGACAGCTGGACAGGTTTACTCTGTGCTGGACTTCGATCCTGGTCGTTCAGCCATATGAATCAGGGGCTGGCACAGAGTAAGTGTTTGCTCCCTTTCAAACACTGGGCTAGGCTTCCATTTTCACTGAATGCAGTGTGGCAGCAGAGCTGAGACTGGCTTGAGTCTTGTCCTGACAGAGTCAAACCAGCCTTTTGGGGTGCCACCATGGGCACATGCCAAGGTCAGCACTACTGTCCCCAGCAGGGCTTAGGCGCATTGAGTGCCTGAGTCCTCATTTCTCCAACCATTCTCTAAGAAGGCTCATAGGCAGAGTGCCTCTGTGGTAAGTGTTGCTCAGTCTTTTGGAGAGTTGTATTAACCTACATCAGAGCCCATTCCTACCCGAAAGTTAACTAAAGTTCAGGAGGCACAAAGCCACTCTTGCCTCCTGCCCTGCTGAGGGTTTTACCATGGGAACAAGTCCCAGAGTACTGTACCTGAATAGATCCACCTGAATTTAAGGTGGGTTAAAAAACATTTTATATGTTTTTCTTTCATTAGGGTCATCTGGTTATTTGCACTGATGTTCACTACCAACTAGAGGGTGAGGAGGACTTTCACAGCCACTGCTGATGTCCTTTGCTTTTAAAGAACAATAAGAGAAAAATGTAGTCTTCCTTCTGTTGTCTTATAGAGAGTAGATGCTATAACATTAGAAGCATGGCTTTTCATCACTACTTTAATGTTTTACTAAAAACTTCTTAAGCACTTTTCACAAAGCAAATCTGTTGTTTTTAAGTACAGTGAGTGTAGCTAATTCTTATTGATGCTTTGGAAACTTGCTGCAGCCTGATGAGAAGGAGTGACTGGTTCTTTTCACTAGAGTTGTAGACAATACACTTTCTTAATATTAAAAGCCAGTTCTTGCATAATTCAATTTATCTCCATTACTGTTAGCAAAACTTTTTGTATGGAGTGAGACCTTATCCTCTGTAAGAATTTCACAGTTTGTCCCTTTGTAACTGGACACTGAGAGTGGGAACGAATCTACAAATCTCAGTGAATTGCCATCTAATTATAGAATCATATCTTCTAGTTCAGACACTGGCTCAAAACAGGACTAATTAGATGAGGTTATTGAGCATGGTGTCCAGTTGAGTCTTGAACCCCTCCAAGGATGAAGATTTCACAATCTCTCAGGACAATCTGTTCCATTATTTAACTACCTTTAAAGTAAATTTTTTCCATAGTATCTAATCAGTATTTCCCATGTTCCAGTATGTTCTGTAGCCTTTTGTACTTTCACTACACACTTCCCAGAAGAGTCTGGCTCCATTTTCTCTGTAGTCTCTGCAAAATTTGCAGGTAACAAAATTTCAAGCCCTCTCTTCTCCAAGGTGAACAATCTAATCTCTCAGACTCTCCTTGTAGTTCGTGTTCTCCAGCCCCCTTGGCTGCACCTGCTGGTGCAGGCCAGAGGACAAACCTTGCTAGTAGAAGTGGCCTTTTCTATGTCTTCTGTCACTAGTCCCCCATCCTACTGAGCAATAAGCCCACATTCATCTTCTGCTGTCAATGTTCTTACAGAAACCTTTCCTGTTGTCCTTCAGCTCCAACTGAACTATGGCTTTCCTGATTTCATTCCTATGTGTGCAAACAAAATGTTTGTGTTCTTTCCAAATAGCTGGTCTCAGTTTCCATCTTCTGCATGCTTTCTTTTTGTGTTTAGGTTCACTCAGGAGCTCCATGTTCTCCATGCTGGCTTTCTGCCACAGTTGCTGAACTGTCTGAACATTCTAATAGCAGTTCTTATGCTCTGAGGCAGCTGCCCTTGAAGATTAGCCAGCTCTTCTGGGCCTCTGCTCTCCAGGGCAACTTCCCACAGATCCTGCCAAGCAGGTCTCATCTGAAGTCTGTGGTTGTAATTCTGTTCTTTGTCTTGTTGCTTCTCCCAGGATCTGAAACCTGACAGTCTCATGCTCCCTGCAGCCAAGGCTGTCCTTGGTCTCTGTATCATAGAGAAGTTGTTTGATTGTGAGTAGCTGCAGCTCCTTGAGGGTCTCAATCGTCAAATAACTCCATATTCTAATATTTGTAAAATGGAAGCTGTATTTTTTTCTTTTATCAGTGTCAACAGAGACATTCAACTAGGAGACATTAAAAGTGTTTGGAAAGGAAAACAACTCTACAAAAGTCACACTGCAGAAAGTTCAGTTCAGGATAGAAAGGTGGCTTGCAGAGTTTGAGCTGAATCAGTTTATTTATCCAGCTATCTGATAGAATACTAAAAAAAGGCATCCTGCAACCAAATAGCAGTAAGTCATAGCAGGGCTTCCAATTCTTTGTGTTCTTTGGTAGGTGAAGAGTGACTAGAAAAAGAATACAAGAAGAACTCCAAAGAAATGGAGATTTTAAATTAGATTGGTATCCCTCACTGATATCAGAAAATGTATAGAGGTTTATGTAACTGAGGGTGTGAGTTATATTCATCATCAGTTGCCAGAGATACGAATAATGAAATTATTATGCATGTGACTCCCTGCGGTGAATGTTAAATCTGTGTGAAATATGAGCATTTGTTGACTGACTGACAAGTGTCTCTACCTTTTCTATTCATGGATTGCACAATGAAGTGACTCAGGTTGTCCAGCAAAGGACAGGCCTGGAGGCATTTGCTTGGTACTTGCAAGCTAATTGATTAAATCACCTCCGTGACAAGCCAAGTAGTACTGGTTAGCTGAAGTACTAGTTAACTGGATAAGAAAACAGAAGAAATAGAAAATATTGACTGCAAGGACTTAATACTATATGTTTGTACCAGATATATATACACTGTGGTGTCTGCATGCATTTATATATATGTATGTGTTATGATATAAATACGATATTGTTTATGGTTTCCTGTATCCTGAGCAATTTCAGACAGATGGGACTTGTTTTCCATCTGTTTTTCATACCAATGGCACATTAGTTTACTTATTTTACAGTACAAACATGGCTATGAATATCTGTCCTGTGGGAATTCTCACTGGGGTTTCCTCCTCATCTGAAAAACCAGTGCTGAAACCATCTGCCACAAAGGCAGCATGCCACCCCAAACGCTGCATTCTGGCACCTGAGCACCCCCAGCCAACAGTTTACATTGTCCTCTGCTTATCCCTAAATGAAATTTAATACATTTTACCTGGGAGACCCAAAATAGCTTGGGATGTGGTTATCAGGGGCCACTCCCTGGGTGATACCACTGAGGGTGATAGCAATTGGCCCTCTGCAAGCCCAGAGCTCTTTCCTTTAAATGAAGGGCTCATGGCTGCAGAAGGTTTTCCCTGCAACATCCTCAGCCCTGTGGTCTGCTACAGCAAAGGTCTTGTCTTCAGCCTTCAGAGGAGAGGTATGGAAACAAATACATGGTGATTACTCTTTGTCAAGGAGTGGTGTTGTTAGGAAGTGATAGATGTAGCTAAATCTGGTTAAATTTTGAGATTTTAAAGTTGAGAACTATGCATATGCCAAAAATACGTTTCCTTCCTTTGTTTTTGTTCTACATATGAAGTGTGTTTCTTTCATCTCTCAATATTTGTCAGTTAAAATTTAAAAAGAAAATACTAGTTATACTAAAAGGCAAGGATGTTCTGCAGGATTGCTTGAAACTGTTAAAAAATTAAGTCAATATTCTCTCATCATTTTGGAGATTGTTTATATTGTGATCATGACTGAAAATATTCTAGTGGTTTGAGGTATATTGTTACCTCTGGTAATGAAGCAACTAGTGAAAGATGCAGCAATTTCAAAACAATTTTTCAGGTATTAGGGAAGAGGCAATTGTCTGCTTATAGATGATTTAATTTCAGCTCTTCAATAGCCCTGTGGTAACTAAAGAAATTTTATCTGTAAAAGTAATGCTAGAAAATACACTCTCCTCTACTTTAGCTGTTTATAATCCAGTGCAGTAGCTGGAAATGAGGAAGACCATAATAATGTGACCTGTTTGCCAGGTCAGTCCCAGATGACAAATAACTCCATAGAAGGCTGTTCCCAGCTCTGGGCGGAAAAAAATAAAAGCATTCTCTGATTTTGTCCAGTTTTGTTTAAAAATTCTCCATCAGGATGGTTTCTCTCATTCTCCCTGGCAAACCTTGTTGAAAGCAAGACCTTCTGAATTTCACACTACATGCAGTCTGTGATTTATGCAGATAGCTCTGTCTTGGTTTAAATCTTGTCACAGAAGCCCCTGGGATGGGCATTGGCTTCACTCATTCACCTGTGGTGAATCCTGTAGAGCCACCAAATTACAGCCCAAAAGTTCAGGGTTTGCCCAGATAGATGCATCCCAAGCACTTTCCCCAGTCTCTATGGCAGTGAATAGGCTGACTTTTCTCCTCTACCCCACAGAGCTCACTTCTTGTAAGTCTGTGGAGAGTGGGTCTTCTCTTTCTTCATTCTGGAGGGAAAGCTGGTGTCCAGGGTAGAGGGGAAGGGAGTACAACTACCAAGTGACACAGCATGAATTTCTGCTATCATTATAAATATTTATTAACAGGTCCTGTAAAAAAATGAGGAAGATGCTGAAGATTTGCTGTTCTCTCCTCCTCTTAAGTTTGCTCAGTGAGCAACTGAGTGCCAGTCCTGGACTCAAAGTGAGGATCACCCAGAAGGGGCTGGAGTATGGTATGTGTGATGTTCTCATCAAGAGCTGCTAGTGGCATTGAATACTGATATGACAAAGGAAAGAGGGCAGTGGGAGTAAATGACTCCATGGGAGGCTATAAAGGAAAGTTTAAGAGCACAACAGAGCAAAGTCAGTAAGCTGCTTGACAGCATTGTCCATCATATCAGGGTTCATCTGACCTCAGACATTGAATCAGTTAGTTCAGCTCTTGCCATGACTTGGAGTGAGACCTGAAATAGCACTGCCATGTCTCAAGTGAGATGCCACCTTCTTGCTGATTCTGTGTCCATCACATTTCCTAAGCCAGAAACACATAACTAAACTCCCAGGCACTATCAAAGGCAACTGAACTGATCATTGTTTTCCTGTAGCCAAGGAGGTTGGGCTGGAAATCCTGAAGCAGAATATGGAGAAGGAGCATTTCCCTGATTTGACTGGCCATGAGAAATTTGGGCTTGGTAATGTCAAATACAACATCTCAAGGTAAGTATTCTCTCTGGGGGCAAATTGTGTTTGACTGAAATTTGAATCTTGTTTTGTGTTTGTTTTGACTTATTAAATCCATTTTTTAAAAATCTTTTCTCTCCCTTTTCTCTCTCATGCTCTAGGATACATGTTACTGCTGTTGAATTACCCAGTGCTTCCATCTCCCTCCTACCAGGGTCTGGGATAAAACTGGTGATTGGAAATGCTTCTCTAACCATCGATATGAACTGGAACATAAGGACCTGGATGTTGTATGTACAGCTTTGCATGTTCTGGGGTTTTTTCCTTGATGGATAATACAAAAATGCAAATTTTAGGTTATTTTTGCGACCCCTTTAAAGGTGCTCTTTATCAGCTGGCAGCAGTAACCCAGGAGCACAGACTGGTGCTTCTGACAGGTCTGCTGGTGGGAGACAGCCCCTGCACCCTCAGACATCAGCACAGATAAAGAGCCCATGGCTGAGAAGCACTGCTGCAA